GTCCATCAGAATGTATTCTGCTAAGTACTGATTAGGAGTAAAAAGACATAATTTAATAATTTCAGTAATTTCAAACATTTATTGAGTGCTAACTTAGAATGTGCAAAGCATTATTCTAAGTGCTTTGTTTTTAACTTATTTATTCCTCATACAAAACTTATGATGGCCTTATGATGGTCTTTTGACTAGGCATTATCAGTTTCTTCATTTTAGAGGAAATTGAGGCACGAAGCATTTAAGCATCTTTAAGAGCTTATACAGCTAGGAAGTGGAATAGTTGGAATCAACTTTTACAATTAGAAAAAAGGATTATTATATTTTAAGATATCAACTCAACAATCCACTCTTGGTAATGATTTTGCTATAGTTTTTTGGAAAACAAATGTTTTAAGAAATTGATTGGCAGTAACATAAAGCATGAAGTGAAAAAATAATTACTTGGTATTGCATTGTATAAAGATTAGCAAGCCAAGTACTGTACCTTTATATATCAGGACTATTTCTAGGCTTGATTTTTATTTTGGACACTACTTATGGTTTTATGATTTTAAGGGATAGTATATGTATTACTCGTTTGTTATAGTTAACAATAGAAAACTATTTGGTAACTCTCAAGTAGAGATTTAAAAATGATTTGAAATAGCAGAGATATTTGGTTGGCAAAGTAATTAGAAATTGATACAAATTAATGAAAATTAACACAAATATTGACATGACAGTTTACTAAAGTGGAATGCTTTACCAACAAAAAGGGCAAATATGTGAACACTGAGTAAAAGGAAAACTATGGTAAGTAGTTTGAAAGGTATAGGGAAGGCCTCCACCCTGTTCTGTGTCTCAGAGATCAGAAAAAAAATTTCCTGTTGTGTGAGTTCTGCTCTTTGAGGCAATCGGTGTTTGTCTTCTTATTCATAAAATGAAAGTGTGGGTATATTGAACCCCTATTCTGTCAGTCACTGGAGAGGACACTGGAGAGATGACCTGGAGTGGAGATAAGACTATGGTCTTCTTTTTATGGTGCTGAAAATCCTGAGAATAATATAGGAAAGTAATTTTGAATGCTATATGCATGTTACAAAAAGAGGGTTTCTTTCCTTCTTCAATTTTGAGACTCCAACCAAGTGAAAATAATGAGCTATAAAGTAGTAGTAGTAGGGGGTGGCTAATCATGGTGAATTACATCAAAGAGGGTACAGTGTTCTTATACAAAATCACTGTAAGTTTGAAACAAAGATTAAAAACCTCCTGACAGCAGGTTTTGCTGAGGATGTATGTGTTTGAGTGTGTGTGTGTGTGTGTGTGCGCGCGCGCGCTCATGTGTGCACGCTCGTATGTGTGTGTAATAATGTATTCAGATAATCTGAAACTAGGTATGGGTGTATGGAATTATTTTTAGTTCCTTAGACTTGGATAAATTAAAAGCTCATTGCAAACTAGAAAATAGGGCACATCTGAGGGGATTCAGCCAGAGTCTAATTGATCAGAGTACAGATCAAAAGAAAACACATATCATTAATTTCTCTGGATTAACATTTTCTTCTTAAAGGTTGACTATATAGCCATGCATGTGTACATGCAAACATATAGACACATGCACATGCACACACACACACACACACATAATGAATAAGTAACCAATCTAATGCTTATAGAATAATTTCAGTATGTGGGAGAAAAACATCATTATGAAGACTGTGAGAAAGAATTCTCCAAATAATTGAAGAAAAGGGTTACTGAGTGAGCAAGCGTGGAGACATCCCATGCATGCTTTTAGAGAACAGGCTATTAGTTTCAAAAGGTACAGGAGAAAAAAAGTGGTGACACTGATTTCAATTAGCTAAAGACAAATACCTTGCCATGGTCCATCTGACCATATATTCCAGCCTTCACTATGAGCTAAGTAGACATCTTTCTATCTCAGTGTTTACCTAAAAGGTAGGGTATTGATGAGAAAATGTTCTGGAACAAAAGATCTGAATAGAGGTGGTCTGCTCACATAGCTAATTTTCCTGGTTTCCTTCATATACAGTCTTTCAAGAATGAGCTGTCTCAGAAAGAATCACTGCTATTCAGAGATGCACAGCTATAAGAAAGTAATCAGCATGAGACCTAAGCAAAAATATCCAAACAAAAGAGGGAGCCAACATGATCATGAAAAAAATCAGACAAGGAACATAAGCCAATAATTCAGCAAAACTGTTTTTTAAGAAGTAGAACAAAATGAAAACCTGTTCTCATAAGGAAATAACGAGTAAGGTTGTAGTAAATATGTGGGTAATTCTCTAACATTGGCCGTATAAACAATAATAATTGCTAATTTAGAGATCAAAATAGACTAGATATAATTAAATACTAGACCACAAGGCTAGTATCTGGGGCTGGGTGATCCAAATTTTGAAAGATATTTGTATTGTCCAGGAGGAAGTATAGATATAGACAACTTTAGATTTTTCAGAAATGCATGTTAAATTTTTAGATGTAACCAGTAAGATAATAGAGGGTATATCTTTCTACAGCAGAAAGAGGGAAGGAAATGCAAGCAATTGCAACAACCCTTGATCAGTTTGGAAGAAGGTCCAGTGGTTTCAGGAAAATATAGAAAATTGTACAAATATAAGTGTTCTTTAAGATGGTAGAAATTAAAATGTTTCAGAAGCACATAAATGTAAATGGTCTGAATATATTACATAAAATCTCTAGATTGTTACTTTGTGTTAAAAAAGAAAAAAAGCCAGTCAGACATACTAGATACGCAAGTATAAGGATTGCTTAAAATTAAAAGGACAGGAAAAGATATTCCAGGCAAATAGTAACAATAATAACAACAGAACTAGTGTAGTTATGTTGAAAAGAACCCAAACAGGCCTACCTGCAAAAAAACTTATCTGGAGGAGAAAAGGAGCACTTTATAGAAATAAAAGATTCACTTCACCTTGTCGGTATGTGAGATATGTATGTACTAAAAATAATTCATTACAAATTCATACCATTACACATTATAGTGCTATAAGAGAAAATGACAAATCCACCTTCATAATTAAATGATTTCATTGAAATCTTACATGATTTATAGATCAATTAGATAAAATGTCATTAAACATGTAGACGATTTGAAAAAATAAGCTTTATGTAATGAGCATATGTAGAATATTGCATTCAATTAATGAAAATTACATATTCTTTTCAAGGACAAGTATAGCTTATGGAAATTGACCATATATTCTGTGAATTTTAACATAATTCAAAGTCAGCATTACACATACTATTCCTTCTGACCCCAGTATATACTTAACTATCAATAAAAAGATAATTTACAAAATAATTCATAAGTTTTAACTTAAAAACATTTCTATACAACTCAAGAGGAAAAAAAACACACAAAAAAATGGAAAATATTTAGAAATACAAAATAAAGTTCTGAGAAAAAAAACATTTTGTGTAAATTAAGAGTTCAAAGATATACATCACCCTTATTTTGTAGCAGAAAATAATTCTTGAAAATATTCCATCCAACAGAAAAATAAATCATAACTGATAACTTAAAAGTGGACAAGTTGTGTCATAAAAGGACTACTGCCAAGAGCTGATAACAATTAAAACAGATTTATGCCTAAATAATTATAAGGATTCATTTTTGCTATGATTATCTGTGTATCCTTTAATCAGATAATAAATTTGGGAAAAAGTTAATAATTTAGTTAGACATCCAATGCAATATATTTCTAGACAGGAAATGAAACTACTTTTTCTTTCTAAACTCCAAGAGAATTCTATTGCACTGTTTGCTTACTTGAAGAGGGCTTCCTCACGGTGAAAATGATCCCAGCTCGGAGACAAAAAAAAGTGAAATCATGGCCTGGAGGCTGACACTGGCAATGTACTAGCTTGTTCATTCAATGAATCAGGTAACTCATCTACATAACGTGATCCTTTCCATGGACACTGGACGAAGCTATCTTTTTGCCAGCTCAGACACGGTTACTATTTCCTTATGCTCAATTCACAGACTTGCTTTCTCCGCGGAGCAGGTAGCAAGTAGATGGGTAGAGTATGAGTAGCATGTTATGGAAAGAGCCTTAAGTTGGAATAAGAAAAACTTGATTCAAATCCAAGCTCTTAATGACGTTAATAATGAGATAGGTGACGTTCTTCATAACGTAAATGACATCTGTTCTTTAAGCTCTCTCTGAATCTGTTACCTGATATACAGTGTTACATTAGACAATGCATTTTAAAAGCTGTGCACCATATGCAAGTTACATTTTATAATTACTTTGTTAAAGTGGGGCGTATCACTTCTGTCTTTAATCGTAAGTGCCAGAAATCTATTTGTTTGCCAGGCTCGAAAGTGGGGGGGGGCAATTGGGACACATATGGGTTCATGCCGGCCTTCAGTGAGCTGTCAGTACAGAGGCAGGCAGACAGGACAGGGCCGGAGCCCGGCATGGAGTGACAGAACAGAAAGGAAACAGCTGCTTTTCTCCAACAGGAATTCCAGTCAGTTTGAAACCCATATGTTAAGAATATCTACCCTTCATTTAATAAGAATTTCCTTTTGGAGTCATCATCAGCATGCAGCCTTATAGACTACTGGCACTAGCAGCAAGATACTGAAGAAAATGTGCACAAAGGAAAGGTCCACCAGCAGACGTGACTGAAATTGGCTCAAGACTCTGACGGACATAAAAGTGAGCAGTGAGGAAATGACAAAGGGATATGATATCAAGGCAATCTGTAGGGTCAGCCAAAGAGACAGAGAGAAAAGAGGGAGAGAAGTAACGAGGGAGGGAGAGAAGGGATAATCAAGGCACAATCAGTTCTTCAGGAAGTATTTATCTTCTGGAGAGTATTTACAAACTTACTCAGATCTTAAACTCCTCTACCGTTTAAGTTTCACGATACGATTAAGGAGCTGCTTTGCCTCAGCAGTACATTTGAATTCAAATATTCTTCTATGTATTTGGTTAAGTACAGGAGGTTTATTTGTTTCCGTGTCTTACCTGAAGCATACATCTTCCTGAAATGAAACATGATCTCATTTCTTTGCAAGAGTGAAATATGCTCATACAAGCTAAAACACTTCTATTTCAAGGGAACATTATGCTTCCTCTGAAAGCTTTTATTCCTGTTTGGCAGGTTTGGCTTGTTTGGGAATCTATTTTTCATCAAACCCTGGAGGGCTATATGGAAAGAAGGAGTTTACATAATGAATACAGGATTTAAGCACACAACAATGAATTAGCTTCTCTGTGCTAAACAGAATTTGTGCCAAGCGATACTTAGCAACAATATGGAAACAAAAATATATTTTTGAAAAAAGTGGGTAAGGCGAGCATATTTCTCCATTTTTTCCCCTCATATTATCATGCATTTGAATGTGGGAGTGGGTGGGGGACAGGGAACAAGGGATTTCAATTCACGGGAGCAGAAGTGAACCCTTGAAAATGCTACTTTAGCCATTCTGTGAGTTTGACTATCAAGTTATTTTTCCTTATTTCATTAAGATTTGATGTGTTTTCTTTTCTCAGGTTTAGGAAAATGTCAGTTTTGTTTTCTCAACTTTAAGACCATAGTAAATTTCAATTTTTAAAGTATTTCTTATTATCTAATCATATTTCAAAGAAACAGAAATAAAAGGAATATTTAAAAGGTTAACAAGAAAATACATGTGGGTAGTTTGTTGTTATTGTTTCTGTATGCTACCTTTGAAAATGAGCGATGAGTGTGGAAATTTTGTGGCAACCCATAAAATTATCTAATTGGATCCAGGAACTAGGTTTAGCCAGAAGCATGCTTACTTTATTGGAGAAGGTCTTAGCAACCAAAATTATGTTGGGTCACTTTTTTGTTACCAGAATATATTGTAGGATCCTCACTTTTCTTCTTTTTTTGCTTTCTTTTAATTTTGTATTAGTTTTTTTTAAGGCGGGATTTCTTGGATAGAAGGATGGAGAACAGAAAATTGAGAATTTCGTTCACTCTCAGTGCTGCTTATGAAAAGATATTTATGATAGTTCAAAATGTACACCCTCCCTTCATACTCCTTTCCTTAGAAACATAAGTGTGAGAGATTAACACAAATTGGAAACTTAGCCTGGAAATGGAAGGTGACAATGGTTGCACCTTTATATTTTAGTCATAACCTAGACTGCAGTTCTTAACTTTGAGATTCTGGAGAGGTAGAAGGGTTTAAAAATAGCTTTATATGCAGTGATCTTTCCTGAATACATTTATGCTAAACACTCACTATCTCTTTGCATTGATTCTTGGAATGAGCCACTAATTTTTAAGAAAATACTCCCTTGAAAAATTGGGAATTTTTGTACCTTCAAGCCTCTTATCCTAGGTTAGAGTAGACTCATGTACATTGCAGGAGAAGCTAAGAGGAGAGCTGAACGGTTTTGAAAAGGAACAATCTAATCTTGGTAGAACTGAAAGATTAAGACTAGCTCAGTTTGATAGTCATTATTTATTAACAAGAACGGATACCAAAGTGTACCTTGTACTCGGTTTTCTTTGAAAATATGCCCTTCAGTACCATCCGTTTCCTCACTTAACATGTATGCTTACAGTTTCAGTAAAACTTTTAATTAAAAATAAAATGAGATGGACAATTGTGCTATTTCTATCATTTACTTTTTCGTGGTTTTCTTCTATGCCTGCTACTTTAAACAGGTAAAACCTTGTGTCTTACAGAGTAGTCTACTCATTTTTCAGGCAAAGCATTTAAGACAACATGAGCAGCCTGTGGTGCTGAAATTGCAACTCTTTGGGGGAAAAAGGCAATCTCTACAGTGTTTCTTCCATTTCCTGTGTGTTGTGTTATTATTACTTTGGGTTATTTTGTCTATGCTTTTTTTTTTTTTAAATAAAATGCAAAGTTAAAAAGTGTTAGAAACAAGAGTTTTAAGTGTCTTGGTGGATAGACTCCTAAAACTTCCCCTGCTCATGGCATTAAGAAATTAATGTCCAAGTACATATAAACTACTTTTTCTAGATGTGTTCCCCCCCACACACACACACACTTTAAAGTAAATGTAATTTATTTGTTCCAAATGCTTTGATTTTAATTTTTTTTAATTTTTAAAGTTTTTTAAATGTCTTAATTTTTAGAAAATACATTCCAAGCTAGGTTCTGTAAGTATCCTTGGTAGTCAGCCTGCAGTCTTGCCTCAAACCTGGACAAGACTGACTTAATAAGATTGAATTGAACAGTAATCTTGACATTTCAATCCAGAGCATTATGGTTCACAACCTTGAGGCAACGTGCAGGTTTCATATATGCTTAGTATTTGCCCTACCCTTCATTCCTCTTAATATTATTTACATAAACCCTTTTGAAAATAGGACCTCACTTATGAAGTCAAGAATTCTGATAGAGTATCTACTGGGTGCTTAGCACCTGCTTGGTACTAGGTACAGTCTGATAAACAAGACTGGCAACGTCCCAGCTTTCATGGAGCCTACAATTCCTTCCCCCAGCCCTGTTGCCTAGTACAGCGATTTGAACCCAGTTAGTACCTCACTGGAAAACAAATGAAGGCATTTGCTGATATGATAAAGTTATTTGTATATTCCTACTTCAAATATTAGGAAACTGACAAAGGGAAGGCTTCGAGGAAGTCATTTTGAAATTAAGTCCTAGTTGCATTGCTGCTATATGAAAAGTAAATTGCTTATTCTTTCATCCACTTTAGCTTGGTGTTAGGGAAAAAGTATATCAATACAATATGAAGTCTTTTTAAAGTTAGAACTCTCAGGCCTTCAAAAATAGTATTTGTTTAAAATCTAGTATAAAAGAGAAATTGATATTGATATTGATATTGATATTTCCAAACTTTACACCAACTATGTTTTTTGATATTCTTTGTGAAATTAATCCAAGCATTTTGTTCTAAAGGATTATTCAATTACTAAAGAATAAACACAAATGAAAGGTTCATTAAAGAGTATTCACTTGGAATAAAATACATTTTTAACAATACCTGCTCTACTAGGGTGCCTGTTGTTCATTAGTAGCACTGGTGCATGCTGTGGATTGTTAAACATCATCCCAAACTTTTTCCTCCTGTACTTGTCTGACTACTGATTCTGAAAACCTTAAAGTGACATTGCCCATGTACCTTGCAGCCAGGAGTCAAGATGAGAATTAGTTTCTACCAAGAAGATGTTTTCAAACAAACTTTAAAAGGTGAAAGCAAGGAATATTTATGTTGCCCTGTATTTTCTTTTCTCCTGGCAAGCAAGCTCTTGGTTTCTAAAGCAATACTCCAGTGTGTCCCTTCCTCACTTCCCTGGCTGTTGAGAGGTAGCTGTGACAAAGGTAGTGGTGACAGCTAATTCCCAGTTTTCTGTTTATGGAATTGCTTTTAAAGTAGAAAGTGTGTACTCAGTAGTTCCAGTGGTCCAATCCTTGGAGGGACTAAGGGATTAAAACTTCTCAGTTAATTGGGGTCCATTCTAGTTTCAAAGGTTGGATTAAGGGTGATGCTTTCCTACCTAAACTAATATTTTCAGATAATACTGTGTTCTGGAGTATTCTTTTCCACAACTTTGGCTCTTCCTTTCGTCATTTTTTGGAAGCACTGTATTCTCTGAATGGCATTTTTCTTCCCTGCTCTAAATATTTAGATTTGTTTCTGCATAACACAGTAGCATGTCAGACTGTGAGTTGTTGCCCAATATCTGTTCTTAATCTCTTTCCATAGTATAGTTTCAGCGGGTCGCATTTCTACCCAATTGAAGACTGCCTTTCTCAGCCTCTCTAACTGGAAGGTATGACCATGTGTCTAAATTCTAGATCATGGAATTTAAACAGATGTTAGATTTGATACTTCTGGGGTTTGTCCTCAAAAGGATATAGCATGCAATATTCTGGAACCTTTCTCTCTTACTGATCACTGTGTGATAGCAGAGGCTGACCAGCTTCGCTGAATCTAAAGTTATAAGTTACTTGTTGAGAATGGGGGATTGCTCAGCCAATAGTGAACCACCTATAAGATAAATTTCTATCTTTTTTACAATGTTGGATTTTAGCCCATTTTTGATGGCATCTGAATCTTAAATAAAACATAACTTGGTTACTAGAAGTGGAACTCTACCGTACTGAAAAAAATAAATTAGGCATTGGTCTAACAGATGGTGGAAAGCAAGAGCAGAGATATTGCAGAGGCTGGAAAACAAGTGATCCTTATGACACCATAATAAAACATTTGGTAAAACTGTCACTTGTGATCCTTAAAAAAAGGTAGTCTTCTTGCTGAAAGAACATGCGAACTGTTTGAAAGAACTCAGAGCATTGAAAAAACACAGAACATTTAGATATGTTGGCTCTTTCTTGTGCAAAGTTCTGTGACAAAGTGTACTCGGGCTGGTTATAAGAGATGATTTTAAACAAGCAGCTTAAACAGTAAATAGGTCTCTGATGGTGTGAAGTGCCCACATTAAAACTTCTCAGTTAATTGGGGTCCATTCTAGTTTCAAAGGTTGGAGTAAGGGTGATGCTTTCCTATCTAAACTAATATTTTCAGATAATTTCAAAGTAGACACCATTAAATTAAAGGAAAGCAGAAACGTGCTGAGCAAAGAAACCACTAAATATAAGAAGATAGTCTGCAAGCATGGAAACCTTGTCTAGATTAGATCTTTGGTTATGGTTATTTGCTTGTGGATCTGATGGTCAGTAACTAAACCAAAAGCACACTAAGCTTTTTAGGGATTGTATTGATTTGTAAAAGCCAATGTGTGTTTGACCTTTAAAGCAACTCCAGAAGCTTCCCAAAGTGGCTTTGCAGAATGTAGCCTAAAAAGTGTGTGCAGTCTCTGGGGGAGTTGTGTTCAGTTCTCTTGTAAGAAGATAATTATATGGTAATCAAATACGTTTTTTTAAGTTTATTTATTTTGAGAGCGACAGCAAGCAGGGGGAAGGCCAGAGAGAGAGAGAGAGAGAGAGGATCCAAAGAGAGAGATAATTATATGGTAATCAAATACTTTTTTTTTAAAGTTTATTTATTTTGAGAGCAACAGCAAGCAGGGGAGGGCCAGAGAGAGAGAGAGAGAGAG